CACCCTACACCACTTCTGACAGGTGGCAGTCCAGTCTCTCCTTGAAAGCTTCCAGGGATGAATCTCCTGCCTGACCCAGGAGGGGTACGGAGGGCATCTGTGGAAGCCACGTTGAAAGAACATGATTGGAAATAGCCAAACACTCATCTGACATGATTCCAGCGCTCTTGTGAGAGATTTGGCAACCTCACGGGTTTTCTGCCACCTCCTTTCATTTTGAGGGCCCGCTGCCTTCGCATAGCAGCCAGCCCCAGCCCCGATTTCTTCACTTTGTGTCGTTCCACCCCCTTCCTTTTCCTGACATGCCCCCCGTTTGCGTTCCTGGCTGCTCTGCCATCGGTCTTTTGCAAGATGCCGGGATACTTTAAACGAGACACATATGCAGTTGCTGGTTCTGCTCCCTGGCTTTTTTCCTCGAGAAAGTTGGGATCTATGGAAGAGCCATATAAGGAAATGAAGCTAGCCATAGCTCTGTTCCTGGCATCCAGCTCGGATGGGGAGGAGGGGTGGGGGCGAAGATGGCTGGACTACCCCGCACAGACCCTCATTTTCTGCTGCAGAGACAATTTATCCCTCGCTGGGGACATGACGACGGTGGGATAAGCATCAAACCACGAAGAAGTAAACCAGCCCACATAAGCCAAGATCATGATTAGTGCAGCAGGGTAATAGCGACAACCACAACCAGATAATAAAAAATGAACAAAGTAGCACCTAGAACCCATGAATCAAAAAAGCCCCAGGGCCGTCCGTTACCTGTCTCTTCGGAAGGTGCTTTGCAATTGAACAAACCAGCTTTCCCCTTCTTTTATAGCACCTAAACCTGCGTTTTTCAACCTGGGAAATCAACAGAGGTGGACTTCCAACTTCCAGAATTCCCTAGTCAACACACTGGCAGGGGAATTCCGGGAGCTGAAATCCACGAAACTTGATTGAGAACCACCTAAAAGCAGCCGGCCTTGGAGCTGTTGGATTCTCAACTTGGTGCTGGCTAAGAAATGTTGGGATCTGGAATTGCAAACCTCCCAGAAAGTCCCAGTCTGGAGAAAGTGGGATTATTTACCTCACGGTTACTGGTTGATATATTATCTCTCCTGGATTGGATTTCTCTTTTTGGGACTTCCTGTCTTGGGGGTCTCGGATGCTGTTTAGGCCGGGATGGGTGGTTCTTGATGGCAAGGAAGGCTGTGAAGCTCCTGGGCTAGTTCTTGCCTTTGGTTCGCTTCTTCCATACCAGTTTGTCCAAGGGACGAAAAAACAAAACATTTTTCTTGGACAGGAGCACAGGGAGCAAAACTGCTCCAACCCTGACTATATTAACTAGCTCGAAACATCAGGAGCTAAACACGCATTTGTCCAGCTAAAGTAGCACTGAGTTAATCAGTGGATGGGGGACCACTAGGAAATCCAGAGTGAGATGGCCCTGAAATCGAATTCCAGATTGGCCTCGTTTAGCAACTGCCTGTTTTAGCACCCATTCTCAGTAACAACAGGGAGTGAAAAATAATTGGGCAACCGAATCCTTGCATTTACGACTTTTGCAGGTTGGCTGGAGGAAAGCTAAAGTAAGATCATAAGCACAGTAGCAGTTTCTCTGTTTCACTTAAGGACTGAGTTGTCAGTCCCCCTTCTGGCTGTTAAATGAGTTTCCCCTGTAAACAATGACAAAGAAATAGAAAGGAAATCCCAAAGCTACAAGCTTAGACTTGGGAAATCAGTCTAAGTGAAAAAAGATCACGTGAAGTATTCGTATCACTTTATAAAGGCCACCCCTGGAATACCGGATCCAGTTTTACAAAAAAGATATTGAGACTTTGGAAAAAGTGCAGAGAAGAACAACTAAGATTATCAAAGGCCCAGAGACAAAAACATTTGAAGAACAGTTGCAGGAACAGGGTGTGCCCAGTCTAGGGAAAAGAAGGGCTAGCGGAGACATGATAGCAATATTCCAGTATTTAAGGGGCGGCAAAGAAGAGTTGGGGGTCAGATTATTTTTCAAAGCACCAGAAAACAAGAAACAATGGATGGAAACTGATCAAGGAGAGAAGCAACCTGGAATGAAGGAGAAGCTACCTAACAATGGGGACAATCAACCAGTGGAACTGCTTGCCACCAGAAGTTGTGGGAGCTCCATCACTGGAGGTCTTTCAGAAGAGACTGGACAGCCCCCTTGTCTGAAATGGTCTCCTGCTTGACCAGGGGGCTGGACTAGAAGACCTCCAAGGTCCCTTCCAGCTCTTTTCCAAACTTAGCGGCAGACCATCGCTAGGAAAACTCCACGAAATAAAACATACACTTCAGTCTTTTTATTTGAGTCTCCATTTAGCTCCGGTTTGTCTGCCCTGGACGGCAGCGGTTTCTCTTCCTGCCCTGCCTTGGGAGGCTGGGAATTAAACCTCGGTTCTTCTGCAAAGAAAACTGGGTTTGTGGCCCTGGGTTTTTTCCGTTCTTCTCAGGGTTGTGGGTGGGGCTGGGAATGGGTCTCACCTGTCCTTTTGCTCCTCCTCCGCCGGCAGGTTTCGCGGGCCAGAACTGCGAAGAGAATCTTGACGACTGTCCCGGAAACAGCTGCAGGAACGGAGGCACCTGTGTGGATGGGGTGAACACCTACAACTGCCAGTGCCCACCTGAATGGACAGGTGAGGACGCACTGATGGGGGTGGGGGAATTAGGGATCCCCAAAGGGAGGAAAGTCGGGTGAACGATTGGCTTGAAATTTTTCTCTCTTCGCTGAATTTGAAATCCAACCTATCAGGGTTTTTTTTTTTTTAAAGCAAAACATATTTTAAAACAATGAGTCCCTTTTAACAATTTAAAACAATACAGCCAAAAGACGAACAGAGGTAGAAATGCTTGCATCTACCTCTGTTTGTCTTTTGGCTGTATTGTTTAAACCAGGGGTCTCCAACCTTGGCAACCTTAAGCAGCTGGTGGACTTCAGCTCCCAGAATCCCCCAGCCCCCAGAACAGTTGAGCTAAGCCACGCCCAGGCTCCTTGCTGTCTCCTTCTTGCTTACACAGCAAATACTCTTTCAGTTTCCAAACAGCCCTGAACTGTCTCGCACACTGACAGGATGCTAGCCAGATGCATACTGATGGATGCTGGTGGGAAGAGGCAGAATTTTTTCCCCTTATTTTCCTCCCCAAAAATTAAACCCGACCACGTAGTTTCATAGTGAAGCACCGGTATGGAGCTAGTCGGAGTCAGCCTCTTTTTTTATAGTGTGGCGACCAAAAATAAATGCAGTACTCTAGGTGTGGCCTTACTAAGGCTCTTTATAGAGTGGTATTAGTACCTCCCTTGATCCTGATTGTATCCCTCTGTTAATGCAATTTAAGATTGCAATTTAAAATTGCATTGGGGTTTTTTGGTTGCTGCTGCACATGGCTGGCTCCTATTTAGCTGGTTGTCCCTTAAGACTCCAAGATCCCAGTTCCTGCTATTGAGCCTGGTTTCACCCAGTCTGTATGGGTCCTTGTGGTTTTTCTTGCCTAAGTGTAGGACTTTACTCTTCTCTACCTTGAATTTCATTGTGTTGGATACAGCCCAGAGTTCTAGTCTTGTCAATTCGGATCAACCCCCCTTTCTTTTGTCTTCTAGGCCAGTACTGCACCGAAGATGTGGATGAATGTCAGTTAATTCCCAACGCTTGCCAGAACGGTGGCACCTGCCACAACACCCATGGCGACTACAACTGTGTCTGTGTGAATGGTTGGACCGGGGAGGATTGCAGCGAGAACATCGACGACTGCGCCAGTGCAGCGTGCTCCCTGGGGGCCACTTGCCACGACCGGGTGGCCTCATTCTACTGCGAGTGCCCACATGGACGCACAGGTGTGTAGAGGAGGAAGGATGGTTGCAGGAACTGGGGTACGGCCGGTTTGAAGGACTGGGGAGGTTATCTAGTCCAACCCCCCACCCACCCACACAGGAGACCCGACACTATTTTTGACAGAAAATCTTCGTTTTAAATTTTTTTATAAAATTTTATTAGACAAACACCAAAACAAAACAGAAAAGAACATTCAAAACAACGGACATGGTACAATCCTCCTAACCCCAGGTTGACTAGCCTTCTTCTACCTGCTTCCCTCTGTAGGTGCTAAGATTACAGGAACCCTCTAGGAATTCTGGGAGTTGTAGTCCCAATACATTTGCAGAGGCTACGGAAGAACAAGAGGGAGCGGCTTGGGTGACCTTAGAGGTGAAGACGCTCGCCTCACACTTGGGAGGCTGAGAATTCAATCCTAGGCAGCGGCAGATGTTTCTCTTTGGGTGTGCAAAGAGAAAAAAATTTGCTGTGAACTCTGCATAGGTGTCAGGGAAGGCATCCGGCCAGTAAATGCTCACCTTTATTCAGTCACCCCGACTCCATCCCACAAAAAGGGTTTACAGGAAAAAAAACAGAAAAAAAGAAAGAGAAAGAAAGAAAGAAAGAAAGAAAGAAAGAAAGAAAGAAAGAAAGAAAGAAAGAAAGAAAGAAAGAGAACAAGAGGATGGCTAGTCCCTGCATTCTCCGAGGTCTCCAGATGTTTATCCACAGCCCAATTCCAGCTGCTGAGAATGCACTGACTTACTCCGATGGATCAGCCAGGCCTTCTCAGAGCTGCCCAGGCCAGCCACCCTGTGGCTGTGTTTCCCAATTCCCTTTAAACCCGGTCTGTTTAAGACCTGAGCAACTGCCAGTCGCTGGCATACTAATTCGCACCCTTTTTAAAACATTTGTCTGATTTTGGGAGGCTGCCTGGACTCCCTGAGTTCTCTTGAAAAGGTTCCTATTTTGTTTTCAGAAGTGATTTGCCACTGCTTCCTTCCTAGGGGCTGAGTGAGCAGGACCGGCCCAAGGCAACCCAGCTGGGTTTGTGCCCCAAGGCAGGACTAGAACTCACCGCCTGCTGGTTCCTAGCGTCTGGTGGCTTAACTGCAACACCACACCGGCGCTCAGTTATCCCTGGCTTGCTATGTATTGTTTTCCTGGCTTTGCCAGTAAATTAAGCCCAGATGGTTTGGCTAGGATACGGTTCGGTATCTAGCCTCCAAGCAAGCATCTCAATAACCAGGTTGCCTCCATTGTGGCAGTGGGGCCATTGACCGTCTCTTGGCCGTCCTGCACTGTGGATGGACGGGGGACCACCTTTGTGAGTGTGTGAGTGTGTGTGTGTGTTTGTGTCTTTCTGAGTCTGGTCTCTGCCTTCTGCAGGCTTGCTGTGCCACCTGGAAGATGCCTGCATCAGCAACCCTTGCAACGAAGGGTCCAACTGCGACACCAACCCCGTCACCGGGAGGGCCATTTGCACCTGCCCCACGGGGTACATGGGGCCCGCCTGCAACAAGGACGTGGATGAATGCTTGCTGGGTAAGGGGGCATCGTGAGACCCCTGGAGCTGGCTGGGATTGAAGAAAAGTTTGGGGAGAAACTGGGACACAACAACCGACCTTGGAACAAAACCCAGGGAGAATCATGGGTCAGAAAGCCGACCTGCGAATTGTTTTTTTTATATATATATATTTATATATATATATTTGTTTTCTGAGGTTCTCGCGGGTATTTGTATGTGGATCTTTGGTTGTTCGGGTTTTCTCCCGCGTAAGATTCGAAGTATCTAGGCAATGTTTCAATGAAGTCTCATTCATCATCTTCAGGCTTCTGTCTTCGGCTCTGTGCTTCTCAGAGTGATGTGAGATTGCAGCTGCTTCTTCCTTTTAAAGCCTGAAGATGATCATCGAAACGTTGCCTAGATACTTCGAATCTTACGCGGGAGAAAACCCGAACAACCAAAGATCCCCATATATATATAGGTCTAGGTGTGTTCGGGTCTTTTCCCGTGTAAGATTAAGAGTATCTTGGCGATGTTTCGGCGAGGTCTCACTCGCCATCCTCAGGCTGGTGCTTTCGGCTTCGTGCCAGTGCAAGCATATATATATATAGTATTCAGCTTTGTTCGGGTATTTTCCCACATCATTCTACTTGTGCTTTGAAAGTTGTAGCAACGTTTCGGCAGAATCTCATCTGCCATCATCAGGCTTCGGTATTGTGTTCGTCTGTGAGTCAGGCTTTCACAGCCGTTTCTATATATATATATATATTTATATTATTAAATTCATTTGCCAGAGTGGGGCAGTGGCCTAGAGTGGAGCTCTCGCCTCACAATCAACATTCGATCCTAGGTAGAGGCAGATATTTCTCTTATCAGGGCACCATGAGGATATACCTGCTGCATATAACTCCGCAATGGCAATAGGAAGGGCGTCCGGCCAGTAAACACTCCGCTCCATTCAGTTTCCCATACTCCACCCCGCAAGGGATTACGGGGTCATTAAATGAGGGTGATGAGATTCATTTGCCACCCATCTTGACGGGTCGGAGGAGGCGCCGGAATTTAGACAGCGTGAATTTGGCTCCAAATTCATCATCTCATCAAGTCCTTCGTGAGGTTTCCTTGATCCTGCACGCCCCCCCCCAAAAAAACACATTTTATTATATAAAGATGCTTAGATAAATACTACTTTAACTAATGGCAGTACCAGATAATACTACCATCGATCCCTTGGATGTGGCTCCATTGAAGCTTGGGGGGGTGGCGTGTCGGTATTGGCTCCTTTGGGGAACCCCCAGTTTAGGTGGCCAAATCCAACATGCCAGCAGGAGCCCTTTGCCCCCTGACGGGACAGGATGGGGGAAGGGGCGCTATTTACAAGGGGAAGGAGGAGGAGAGGGCCGCAGCTGAGATGGGGGGGGGCCTTCTGTTTTGTTTTGTATCAAAGCCAATTCTCCCCCCAATAGAGGTAATCCTTGACTTACAACGGTTTAGTGACCACTCAAAGTTACTGTGATGACCCAGAGTGTAACACAAACGTAACAAAATCCAAAACGTAATTAAATGTCCTTTAATACCTCCAACTTGGCCCCACTGTTCAATAATTTTCTCAGTTGGAGATAAAACTAATTCAAAAATAGTCTTCAAAAGAAAGCAATACCGTCTGAACTTAATGAGCAGATAGAGGTGAAATAAAAAATCAAAACAAACTACAATGACGAAATTTCCACAACGGACCAGGATAAGTAATTACCAAATTCAAGGAGATAACAAGGTTGGAATGATGCCAACCAAGATAACCTCAGCCCAAAATAACACACACGCTTTGCTTCTGGCAACACTGTGTTGTAATCGTCTCTCTTATATACTAGTCTCTCCAGCTGCAACTAATGAGGGGGATCATGGCCGCTTCCTCTCTCGTAAGCCAAGTTGTTTCCTTCTCCATTCCTCCCTGCGTGTCCTAGGATGGAAAGGGGATGGGCCCAGCCGGCCTCTGCCCTTCCCCAGCCTTCTCCACAACCTCCGGAGCCACACCTCCCACCCCCTATCGGCTGTTCCTCCTCTCCCTCAGAGTCCGACTCTAACAAGGGCATGACAGTTACAATGGCACTGAAAAAAAATGACTTATGACCGTTTTTCACACTTACGACCATTGCTGTCTCTCCATGGTCACATGATCAAAATTCAGGCAACCGATTCACACTTACAATTCCCCTTTTGTGACTTTCTGACGTGCAAAGGTCCAGGGAGGGTGTGTGGGGGGAAAGCCAGATTCACTTGAACAGCCGTGTATGAGACGAACTTAAGAGCTGCAGGGATTCGCTTCACAACGGTGGCAAAAAAAAAGGTTGTAAAAGGGGGAGAAACCCGCTGAACCAAGTTCTCCCTTGGCCACAGAAGTTTTGGGCTCGGTTGCACTCGTAAGACAAGGAATACCCAGTAGCCTACACAAGTGGCTTCATCCTAGGGCACACAGGGAGGAATGGAGAAGGGAGCAACGTGGGTTACGGGGGAGAAAAAGGGCCCTGATTCCCTTCATTAGCTGCAGCTGGAAAACAGGATTTAAAAAGGGCGTTTGCGCACAGCACCTTGCTGCTGGAAGCAAAGCGTGAATTATCTTTGTCGAGGCTTACCTGGAATCTGGCGTCCTCCCAACTATGTGTTTCATTATCTTTGGATGTCTTCAATCCCTTATCCTGCCCTGTCTCATTCGTTGCTGCAGTGTGGTTTGTGTTGGTCTTTATTTATAATTTATATGTGTGGTTCGGATGGAATTTCTCCCCTTTAAAAACTGTTCTTGGGAGATTTTTTCTCCAGCCAATGACAACTGGACATTGGGGGCCAAGTTGGAGGAACTAAAGGGACTTTACTTACTTTTGTGACGTTGTTGCTTTTGTGCCACGCCCGTTTGGGTCATCACAGGGAGAGGAAAATTGCATTTGCCTTGTTTGTTGCATTGCTGGTTGGACCAGCAGCTGGACAGGAGGGGTGCTTTGGAATTGGGGAGGGGGCTGAGACAAGGACAAGAGAGAGACTCACAGAAGGGCCTCTTGGCCGTTCTCTCTCTCCCTAACACATACACACACACACACACACACACACACACACACACACACACCTTCAGGGGACAGTGCCTCATCCTCCTTTTTCCCCTCTGCCAGGTGCCAACCCCTGCGAGCATGCTGGGAAATGCCTGAACACGGAGGGCTCTTTCTATTGCCAATGCCAGATGGGCTACTCGGGTCCCCGGTGCGAGATAGACGTCAATGAGTGCTCCTCCAACCCCTGCCAGAATGATGCCACCTGCTTGGACCAGATTGGGGTCTTCCAGTGCATTTGCATGCCAGGTAACCCTGCTGACCCCCCCCTCTCCTTCTGGGCCCCTCGGGCGGGCGGCTTAGGAGGGCCCTGGGTGGAGCAGTGATGGAGGAAGAAGAGGTGGCCTTCACCACCTTTGGTGCTTGGCTTGGTTGTTGTAACTGCTTCATTTATGAGCTATGGCGGCCCAGTGGTCAGAGTGCAGTACTGCAGGCTCCTTCTGCTGCCTGCCAGCTGCCTGCAATTTGGCAGTTCAAACCTCACCGGGATCAAGGTTGACTCAGCCTTGCCTGCCTGGAGATATCTAGAGCAGGAATATACAATCTGAAGGGTTATGCTGGAAGGAAGGAAGGAAGGAAGGGAGGGGGGGTGGGAGGAAGGAAGGAAGGAAGGAAGGAAGGAAGGAAGGAAGGAAGGAAGG